AACTGGCTAGAGTTTGTTTCAACTGTGCATTACTCAATGTATTCCAGGAACCCTATCCTCAACTTTAAAAATGTCAAAAAGCTCAGAACATAAGAAATCAACAGACAAGGCAGATTGAACTTTGACAAAATTTGGAAAGAAAAAAAAAAGCCACCAAGATCTAGATAGAGAATAAATTTCAAAATGGTGAAAACTCTCATCTATAAAATGAATGGAGAAGGTCAAGGAAAGATTTTACTCAATATACCCTCATGGCTAAACAAAAAATACATAAAGTATGTCAAAAAAAAAAAAGAAATCATGACATTTATAGCATGATGAAAAGTATTACCAAAGTCAAGTATCGCTAGTTTCCCGTCTGGAGTACGAATCAGATTCCCAGGATGTGGATCAGCATGGAAGAAACCAGTATCAAGCAACTGTAGATGTACAGCAAAATAAGAAAGTTAATACCTACAAATTTAGCACTCTAAATGTCACAAAACACGCAATTCAATTTGATAAAGTTTATCAGACAAACAACCCATATACAAGCTGGCCTTTCTCCTGCCTCATAGGGCATATCCATTGTGAAGAAACAATAGTGAGCTAGACATCTTTCATATGTCCAACCTCAAAAAAAAAACTGATCCATTTTGAAAGCAATTGTGCTCAAATCATATATTTGATGCACCAGGTAGGCCTGGATCCGAACACCAGAAATAATGACCTGCTTTGGTCAACAAGGATGAAACTTCCAAAAAGGTTTATACCTCCAACGAATCAAATTGGCTAATGGTGTGCGTTCATGAGCCCAAGCTAACCAGAAATCCCATAAGAACATATTTCGCCTAAGGTGATGGACTACTGGAATGGTAATGATTGGCATTGGTTTGACCGAGTAACAAACAGCTTAACCTTTTGGAAAGCAGGGACTGAAAATTTACCTGCTTAAGGTAACATATCACCCCCACATTTACCAGTTCCCCAACATCACTTGCTGTACTCTGCGACAGCTTCTCTCCTTCAATCCATTGCGTTGTAAGAACCTTCCTTGATGTATAGTTGTGATAAGTTTTTGGAACAACCACCTGATATGTAAAACTTGTTATAACTTTCCATAGAATCACTGGCTGGCATTTCAGAACAAAACAAAATATTTGGTTCGATTTTAACAACCTACAAAGAAAAATTCATCTGTTTATAGCAGAAAAGTTCACAACTTGTGCAGCACAGAAGACATGCACGCTTAACGTAATTCATGTTACCTGCGGTAGATCCTTCTTCATCATCTCAGCAAAAGTAGTTCCATTTTCCCCTTCAGTAACGTAATCAAGTTCTTCAAAAAAACGTGCAGCCCATTCATCAACTAATCCAACCACATCAACAGATATCTAAAAAATAATAAGGGGAAAATCAATTATTATTTTGTCCATGCCATTGTCCACATTAGAAGAGAAAAGAAAAGGAAATTTTTTTAACTAAATGTGTAAATTGACCTGAGGAAACTTCCGAAGAACCAACCCCAAGTTTCTAATGATGTACAAATCAACAGTTACAGTTTCAAGAACGAAAGGCCTTTGTACTTTCACAGCAACCAAATCCCCATTCTCCTTTAGTCGGCCCTTATAAACCTGCCCGAGAGATGCTGCCATTCATTTTCAACAATGACAACAAAATGCTTTATTGTCAGAGATTAACACAAAAAAATGGTTCCAAGTATTCATTGATACAATTAATCTACACCATTATATCACAAACAACTCATTTTAATTATCACTTTTAAGTCAACAAAGTAATTTTAGAATATTTGCAGGGTCAACAAACAAAGAAATTACCAGCCGCAATTGGGGATGAAGAAAGTTCAGAATATATGTTATACCACGGCTGTCCAAGCTCCTCCTCTAACAGAGCCATTGCAACGTCATCAGGAAACGATGGAACCTATACCAATGAAAGAAAAAAGTTAGTGAATAATAAAATCTTAAAAAGCATGTCTACAAACTTATCCTGGACAATAATTAGTATCTCTCTTTCCTTCGCTGATATTCTTAAAACTTTTCCTGAATTCACATCAAATTGCAAGCTTGAAGCTGACTTTGCTTGCAACTTGTATAATCCTCCATATGTTTCCTCAAAGAATGTCAGAGAAGGTATCAAGCGGAATTTTCAGGTGGCTCCATTGTAAATTTTTTCCCTGAATAACTCTTTAAAGACAAAAAAAAAAAAGGAAAGCTTGAAAGGGTTGAAAATGGAACAAAAGATGTTACAACAGTTGATCGATACAGATGACAAAAGAATAGCAATGGAAGGAGAATGGACAAGAGAGTGCAGATATAAATGCATGCATGAAGATGTTTATCAAGTCATTGTATATCTAAGATAACATTAGCTACTACCAATTAACATAATAAGCATGAAAATATCACTTTTTCCACACAAAGCACTTGCCACCTTATGGACGATTACCATAATCGAGACATGAGAAAATTGTGAAAATGGTTTTTTAATGTAAAGCCTCTTCATCCGTCATAACAAAAATCTATACAAGCAAAACATGTCAAGTACAACAAAACCAGGAATTAATCCAACTGACCTTGTCACAAAGCTTTTGCAGCTCAATCATTGCAGCTGGAGATAATATATCTGGTCGAATGCTCAATGCCTGCCCAAGCTTTATGTATGCTGGTCCCAGAGAGGTTACAATCTCTCGTAATTCAATAGCTCGAGCAACTTCATTCTAGTTACAATTGTGAAAACGACAAAGGAAAAATATAGGATTATTTGTGAAAGACAGATGAAAATCTGATTTCTGTGAGCTGGGTGGACAATTGTGGTCAAACACTTCCATCACAAGGGACCTATAAATGCTTTTTACCTCTTTGACTTTTTTGTTTATTATATCCCAAGCAATACGTGAAAGAAAACCTCCAGCAACAGACAACAACTGCACCATACGTGTAGCTACAGCACGTGGTCGTTTTCCCCAATATGCAGCAATACTAGCAGGATCATAAACCAATGGTAAAAACTCACTGCTTTCATCAACCTGGGAAAAAGAAAACCACCAATAACATAACAATGAGGATTCCTTGGTTGAAAGACATCCTCTACAGGTTGAGTCTACAAATGCTTGATGATAAGCATCAATGCATACAATGCACTGAGTTTAAGCTATTTAGTGGCTTAAGAAAGATTCATATTCTCAGTATATCCCATTTAAGGTACTCCAGGTAACCAAGGATATCAACCAACAAGCAAGACATGATTCACACATTTCCCACTTGAAAGCCCAAACCCTATAACCATATCATCGATCTCTGGTTGATTTAAATAATTCACAAATCAAAGGCTAATGACCCTTGAAAGTAGAATTAGCATACAACTTAGTAAATCAAATCATGCTATTAGATCTCAATACAATGAACATTGTCAAGAACGAAAACAAGAATAAATTCCTCAAGTTTCAATGTGGAGTTATCAGGCAAACCTCAACTAGTCTGAGCTTGATATTATCATCAGCAAACAACGAATCCTTCAAATTTTGACCTCGAAGCCCACTCATGAGCACTGCCAACTGCTCATTTTCTTCCATTTGTGCCCTCACTCTTTTGATCTCCTGTGAAACATCCTGCATTCTCTGCAGTCCACGAAATTCAAAGCTTCACTAACCATTCACCACCTCTAGTAAACAAAAATAATATACCAGGATAAATATTTTTCTAAAAAAAAAAATCATCAATAGGAAACATTTAGAATTTTTTTCCCCTCAGTTTCTCATAAAGCAGAATACAATTCATTTTCAAGTACAACTAATTAGCACCAATTCAAATAAAGTTAATTAAACCAAAAAAAAACGTAGAATAAAGCAAACTACAAGTTATTGAAGGACAAAAAATTTGGATCTTTACCACTAAGCAGAGCGAAATTGTCATAAGAACAACACAATATTACATATAACTGAAAAATTCTGTTAATTAAACCTGAGAAAGAGAGAGAGAGAGAGAGAACGGCAAAGTTGTTAAAAAAAAATCAAAATCCAAAAAAATGAATCTTTTCCAGTACGCTTAACTAAAATCTAAAAAATCAACATGCAAACTACGAGGCAACTGAAAATTCTCTCATAATTAAACACCAAAAAAATGAAAAATTAATAAAATTAAATCAACTTCAAAATCCCAAAAGTTTCTCATAGTTTCCATTGAGCTTAACTAAAGTTTCAAATGCAAATACCAGCACCTGAACAGGGAAAAAAAAAAACAAACTTTAACAAATTTAAATTCCACAACTACAATTTCACACAGTCGAAAACAGTGCAGCCAACAACATACTGTGGAAGCACCATTGACTTTCTTAGACGACGTCGTTGCAGAGGAGGATCCAAATCCATTAACAACTTTCGGCTGCGAAGAAGAAGAATTATTTGCCTGTTTAGTATCAGCCGGTCTTGGCTCCGTGGCAATAGCCCGTACCACGCCATTCCTCTCATTAATTCTCCGGAAAAATCCGTTACGATCAGCTGGACGAAAATGAAAATTAGATGAGAGAGTATTTTGCCGCCGTGTGGTGCGTCTCAGTGGGTTGATTCCGCAGTAGACCAGCTGTACACTTGCAGCTGCGTCCATTGACGGAATCAAAATTCACAAAATAGAAAATTTGAACTAATTGGACTGTATGAGTGCGTGTTTTTGGAGCGGAAATGTGTGAAGTCAGTTGGGAATAGGGAGGGAAGGAGTGGACTCAGTGGTGGTTCTGGTTCTGGGGAGGACACGTGGAAGAAATTAATGTACAGGTTTTTTTATTATTTTATTCTTTTTTTTAATGTAAGTGATATGATTCGAATAGGGATAATTTCACAAACCTCCCCTGAGGTTTCTGACACTTGCACTGAGACCCCTCCAGGTTTTAAAAATTTCACCTAGCTCCCCTGGCAGAGTATTGGGGTCCATTGCTGACATGCAGAGCATTGAAATGACCAATTTGTCCTTAGAGTTTGGTTTAGAGTTAGGCAGAAATATTAATTAAGAGAAGCATGCTTTGGGATAGCACATGCTTTCTGTGTTTCCATCTTCTATTCCCCTCAAAGTCCGCCGACAGTTTAGTGAGCTTTTCAATACCATAGAGGAGAATTTTAGTGAGCCTCTCCATCCTGAGCTCTTGGTATGAAGGCTGGTAATACCTGTCTGCACTTTCAATTATGATAGAATACTTAATGTCGCTGAGAAACTTAGGCTCTCATTTAGTGCTTACAAAAAAATGGGAGAGAATTTTTTTTTCTAAAAAATATAAGAACTGAAACCTGATTTATGCAGCCAAGAAACTCGATTTCAATATCATGAGCATGATACTTATATTTTCACAAGGGACTATATTCTGGACAAGTCTCTTTGAAAAGATGAACCACAGTGGATTCTAAATGTGGTGTATATATCGGTGATGTGGGAGTGATGGAGTTTTACAAAATATAAATTTCTGGTTTCATGAATATGGAGAAAAATGGGTGCCAGAATGTATGATGTTATGAGCACCACAATGGCCACTAAAGGCAAACATCCAGGTTCAAACAATTTTGACAAATGATGCTTTAATTATATGGCAAAGTGGATCAGCTTATGGAGCTTCTAGCATCTCATTAAAATAGGCAAGATTACTTTATGCTGTAACAGTGAAATGTTGCCACGCCTCATTGATCTTCTTGTGGATATCTCATGAAAGTTTTATCAATTCTCAACTTTTATCAATTCTCAACTATCCGAAAAATTTTGTGTACTAGAATTGGAGTTATAAATTGAATCAGGAAAATTTAGACAAAACTTTAACAGCCAATGCCCATGATTGATATTTGACAAAGAAAAGAATTAATTCTTGCAATTTAGAACCAACCATCCAAAAAAAAAAATAAAAAAAATTCCCATTGCAGAGAGCAGGCTCTGAGATTTGTACCTGTGGTTTAGCAAACCAAGTCATGGACTTGAAAGTTGACAACCTCCTAAATAGATCATCACGGTCCCATGGTCTGCAAAATGGAGCTTGTACTGAACCACTTGAACCTGATGAAACCTGCATTTCCTCAGTTGGATTTAACCTTGATTTTGGACCAAGTATGCCTAATGCAGAGAATACATTCGGCCGTTTCTTGCCTTTCAACCACCGAACTCCATCAGCACTATTGTTTTAACCAATATTGTCAAAAAAAAAAAAATCATTGGCAACAAGTTTCACTCTCTCTGGTTGTAGCATTCCAATTCTTATTGACAAACACAAGCACACAAAAGAAATGCAAGATCAATTTCCTTGCTCGGAGCTATCCAATTCTTGTAGATATACGCAGATACACACCAAGGATGAAGCAAAAAATTTTTTTTTTTTGAAATACATGCACGCACACAACAAACACACACAAAACACTCCCTTTAAAGGTACATTTTGGTATTTCAGGTAGAAACTTCTATTTTAACCACTCAAACACAGTATCATACTCTACAAACAAGAAAAAATCAACCAATGTTATACAATATTAATAATTAATAATTCGGCTTTATAGCTTATGCATCAACATTTCAGTTATGAGCCAAAATCATACAATATTAGTAACTAGTATTTCAGCCTTATAGCTTATGCATCAACATTTTAGCTCACAATAACTTCGAAATCCAAACAAGAAAAATTAAAATACAGAGAAAACAACGAAGTGACAACTTCAGCAGCTAAAGTTCACTTTCAACCAAAAGAAAAAAAAAGAGTACATAAAAGAGCAATGAGAAGCCGTTGATAAAAAATTGTGAAAGAGTTATATAAAGAGAATTAACGAGGAAAGTCGAAGAAGAAGACCTGGTGGTGGTGGAAGCAGAGGAGCCGTTATTATATAGATGATTATTATCGCTATTATTAGGCTTGGATTTGATGGTGGCGGTGGCGGAGATTCCGGAAACATCCCCTCTAATATTGCTTCGATTCTCTTTTGTGCCGCCATCTCTCCTTATTGCTAAATTTTTTGGCCTAAAAAAAAAGGCTCAAAAGAATCTGGACATAATAGAAATTTACTTGGATTTTGAAGAGCTAAAAATGGTAGTAAATTGCTCCGGCAGCAAGCGCCCCGAATGTGCTAAGGCCACACCTGACTAGATGGCCAAGAAGTTGGTTTCGGTCATGACTGGATGGCCAATGTGCTGAGAGCTCTAATTGCAGCATAGCAAATTCACTTTGTTATCACTCCAAATCAGCAGCAAAGAATTATAATAGCTTGAATCAGAAGTAGTTAAGTTGCTTTGCTTTACATGCTATTGCTACTGAATGTGCAAAAATCTGGCCGTTGCAATTTGCAGCTAGCCGGTGCAAAATCTGCCAAATAACTGTTGCATGGCACATCTGGTGCTTACAATTTTTTTATTGCACTTACACCCCCTCAACTTTAGTAATCAGTCCAAATCATTTATTCTTCTTTCAATCTTCTACTAATACAAGGAGCAAAAGGGCAGCCATGGAATAAAAATACCTTCTCACACATGAAAATAATATTGTAATATGATTTGGACTGTTTTGTTACCAACAACTCAAAAGCAAGGGAGGTCAGTGAAATTTTGAGAACTTCAGGGGGTCTCAGTGCAAGTGTCAGAAACCTTAGGGGAGGTTTCTGAAATTATCCCATTCGAATATGAAATGTCTCGCTTAGAACTGCGTACAAGTCGAATCGAGTTCAAATTAATTAAGTCAAACTTTAATTCAAAAATACTCAATTCATTAGTTCTAGAGATGGGCTCGATTATATATATATATATATAATATTTTATTATTTTAAAAAAAATTATTTTATTTATTTTTAAAAAATAAAAAGATTAAACATAAGCTCGAACTTGACGCGACTTGAATTTGGGTTGAGTTGTACATTGAGAGCTCGTCGAAATCGAGTTTTAATTTGATAAAATTAAATTGATATTCAATTCAATTAAATTAAAGTTCGATTTGACTCAATTCGATTACAGTCATAGTCTCACTCTTACACTCCCTCTCCCCGGAGTTTATTGCCACAATAATCTTCCTTTTGAAAAACATTTTCAAACTAATGCAGCTTCAAAATTTATCCCCTTGTTAATATGTTTGTTGCCATGTGGACTTTAAATATGGAAAACTAATTACCCTTAAACTTTTGCTCTTATCTTCTTTCATCTTGAGAGTTAAATCCCATTAAAACGTCAACAACTATTCAGAGTTTAATTAAAATTCACATTAGATGAATCCTTCATTTTTTTTAATAGCTCAAATTTTGCTACTTCTTCTCCATATATTGTTCATTGTCTATCTTGAGGAAATTCTTAATATATTTGGAAATTTCTAATATATTTGGAAATTTCCTAAATCATCATAACAACTAAAAAATTTTCCTACCATGCGTATGATGAATTGCCATGTAGATAACCTGAAAATCTTCAGAGATCTATTGTGTTAATTCATGATTGTTTAGTGTTAGAATGCATAATGATAACTCTTCTAGATATCAACTATTAACTAACTTTTGTGTTAATTCTAATGCTAATTATGACTTAGATTTTTTGTGATGGGTCAAAAAAAATGTGAGGCTTTTTTTTTCATTTCTCTTTTCCTTTAAAGTGGAACTTTTATAGTTCACGCTAAACTATGATCATTATTAGAGCCAAAGTTTAAGCGTAATTAGTTTTTCATATTTAAAATCCACATGACAGCAAATATATTAACATGGAAATAAATATTGAAATTGCATTAATTTGGAAATATTTTTTTAAGAGAAAGCCACCCATAACCCATCCCAGCACTGCCCCACTACTGGTTTGTTAACATGGACAACAGAACAAAACTGCAATTTCTCTACCGTCCATTTTTCCTCTTGTCTGCTGCTTTATGGTCGGGCAACACGGATTCACATGCAATTTGTGTGACCAGATTTAATGGTTATTTTCTCTGGCACAAGATTTAAATGATTATTTTTGTTGAGTCTTTTTTTTTTTCCTTTTTCGTTCTTTCCTTCTATGTCTTTTTTTTAAAAAAAAAAGCTGAAGTAGGTTTAGATAAGATAGATGTTTCGGAAATGTCCTATACACGTAAAATGGGAGTTTGTCCTATACGAGCTTTCATCCGCCTCCTATATTGAGTAAACTAAAAATTGTGAATTTGTCCTACAAGTTTTTAAATAGTGAATTTGTTTTGCAGATACATATTTTAGTGGTATTTTAGAGATGTTATTAAAACATTATTATTTTTAAAATTGAAATTGATACCCTCACCCTACCTTCTTTCGCCCAACGACCTGCTCATGCCTCTGCACTTTACTCATACCTATACGGCTATACCATCTCCACCTTTTCGCCCCCTCTCCCTGCCCTCCATTTTTTCACAAACACCCCACAATCCCTTTTCCCCTCCCTCGTTTCTTGCCTAACACCCCAACTCTTCTGTCCTTCTTCACACTCTCAAGTCTCACCCCATTATGGTTGTACACTGCAGTGACCGAGCCAAGATTTTTATTTTGAAGGGCCAAATTTTTTCTTAAAAAATTATCTTAATGTGCTATGTTTAAAATAATTTATATTTATTCAAATATATAGCATCTAAAAATATCAAATATTAACTTTAGTATGTAAAAAATATTTTTTTTGAAAAAAAAATTGATTCAAAAGTGGTTAATTCACACACACACATATATATATACTCTCATGATATAAATTAAAATTATAAAAAATTAGGAGAAATCAACTTTGTTTTACACATATATTTACATATATGAATTAAAATTTTCAAAACTCAGGGTGCCATGGCTCCTATCGGTCAATCTTGACTCCGTCATTAGCCGTGCAACTGGATCACGAGAGAGGGGTAACAGGCGGGGCATGAGTGGGAGATGAAGAGAGAGTGGGAGACGAGAAAGGAGAAAAGATAAATAAGAGGTTGATAGGATGATGGTAGGCGATGGTGGAGTAGAAAATGAATATTGATGTGTATGTTGTATTTTTTTTAATGTCTTGGAGGTAGTCTTGACTTTGTAGTGTGTGTTTTGATGTGTTTTTGGGATATTTTTTAGTTTTATTATTATAAATGTATTTTTGAAAAAATCTCTTCTAGCAACTCAATCCTTCTTAATAAATTTGAATTACATTTTATTATGGTTTTCTTTCTCTTCTAGCAAACTATACCTTTATTTACAAATTCACATAATTTATTTTATTCATATGTATTAACTTTATTTTGTTTTAATTTAATTGTTACTTCATTGATGTTGCTTAAAAGTTAATATTCATATGTGGAGAAAATATATTTTTGCATATTTGGTATTTAGATGAGTGTTTGTATGCGTAGTTTTAGATTTTTAATCATATAAAAATTTTGTATACCTTGCATATTTAATGAATAATATTATATTAATATAAATGTATGTATATAAGTTTTTAGATATTAATATGGCATTTCTGAACACTTGGATACATTAGTTTTCTAACATAAATATCCATGAATATGTAAGAATATCATTTTATATTTTCTTGAATTATTCATATTTCCAAAATTTGACAACTAATACTAGTATAAAAAGAACCGTGTTAATGCACGGATCAAAATACTAGTTTTGTTTTTTAGTTGGAGAGCAGAGAAGCATAGCAGGAAAATAAGAGGAGTAAAAAGATGGGGGTGTTTGCATTTGCAAATGATTTAAGTAAAAGATTAATGCAGCAAAAAAAAAAACAAAAAGAATTTAGCAATAGATAATTATATTAAGTTTGCATGATTCAAACCATTGGTTGGATTTTCAGTTATGCTATAGTAAAACTGCCAAAAAAAAAAACAAACGAATCAAACCATATATATTTGTTTTCAAACTTGTGGTTTTTATTATGTTTGAGGTTAGTATCTTTGCCTGACTTTGTGGCAAGGTATGTGTCACTCTTAAATTAGCTCTATGCTCTATGTCCATGAAAGACTGAAATTTGTTATGAAAATTACATAACTCATCAAAAAGAATAAAATAAAAATTACACAAAAAATTTTACACAAAAAATAAATTTTACTTTTAAAAAATCTTTCTAACAAAATAAAAGCAAAATGATTCATAAATGAAACTTTTGAAAAAGTGAAAAAATGGTCCATAAATGAAGAGGCAAGGAGTAATCTGCAAAACTGATCCTCCGTCGAACTTAAGCATAAACTTCCTTTGAGAAAAAATAGTTAAGGACAAACTATTTGATTTAATAGCTACTTTAATTAGAATTCGCAAATAGACCTGAAAATATGTGCTCAAATCAGTATATATACTCAACCCCAAAAAGAAAAAGTTACCAAGATTTGTTTGCAGAAGGAACATAACCACAAAGTTTTAAAGGTTTTAGCAGTTTACAATCCAAAAGCTGCATTTTTTTTTTCTTTTCTTTTTTAGGCAATGAGCTACTTGGTTCATTAGCACTATTAATTCTATAACCTGAAAATGTTGGTAGTGATGATGAAGTTATTGGGAAGATTTACATTAAAACAGCCATTTACATGAAAGATTAGGCTAAAGGTACATTACAAAGTTTAATTCAAAATCTAGTAACCTTTTTAATGCTAAAATCTAGTTTCTAGGTTTCACCTAAAGACCACTTATTTGCAAGGAAAGGATAGGGTAAGAAGAAGAATAATTCTCATACTTCCATGTTATGTTTACATGTATTGGGTGGATGCAAGTAAACAATTACTGCTTCACAATAATCTTGAAGAAACCATTTCTTATGCTGACATATATTAACAATTATGCCACAAATACATGTATGGATTGTCATTTTTGGTTAAAAATTTTTTACGTAGGCATATTTTTCGATCACTTCTTTATCTCGTACGAGTCAAATTGTTACAATATATTTTTTTATAAAAACTTCAAAAAAATAGCAATCCATACGGATTAAAAAAACTGTAAATTGTACTAGTTTAATCTGAGGATAATGATGGTATTCCAATTGAAATTAATTTTCTCGTCAAAAAACATATTCCTAGAAAAATGTATGGCAGTTTCAGTTTTAGGGTTCTTTAACTACCCATTTCACACATAAGTAGCCCCATACTTCCATTGCTCTATCTTTCTTCTTTACCGTTTGGCCTCAAAAAACCAAAAAGAAATAGAACCCTCCAGAAACACACTCGCACACAAACACAAACACACACTGAGAGTGC